CCCATTTTGTTGTCAAAATCCTTTTCCCATCTGTTATTGTGGCAAAACAACCTCCTAGTCTGGATGTTTCATTCATGGATAAAGATTTCATTGGAACTTCTTTTAGGGTTGGGGCAGATTTTGCTCACGGTGAAAGGAGGGACAAAACTCCCTGCGAGCTGAATTGAGCCTCTCCTGAAAATGAGGGGTTTTTAGAGGAGTTATGATGGCTGTGGACAAGGTCTTGCTGCTCTGCCCTTTCAAAAGAGAACTGTGTCTAGTGGAGGAACAATCAGAATATTTGTCTCTTTAAATGAATGATTCTTAGAGCCTGCACTGAGAGGCAGGCTCCCTCTCTGCGGCTGTGAGGCTACTCAGAGCCTCCAATAAATCAGCGTGCAGGCACTGAGAGCTCTGTCCTTGAAGGGATGCACAGTGACCTTGCTTGTGCTTACTCTGGAGGAATAGGGGAAACAGAGGAGCCCAAATAGTGAGCGGTGTGTGACTGAAGGCTCTGCATTCTGCATGCAAATGCCACAGCAGCACCGGAGCCCCGGCACAGACGGCACGCTGCTACACAGAATGCAGCTTTCCTGACCAGACTGCTGCTACTGCTGTGTTTCTTTCTTTTTTTTTCTTTTTCTTTTTTTTTTTTTTTTTTTCCCCCTTTCCTTTTATTTTTTTTTCTCTTCCTGCAGGGTTCTGAATGAAATCCTCATGATTGTTGCATGCTTGCTCAATAATAGCACGCCCCAGTCACGTCTCCTTGCGAGCACATTTGGTCGGAATCACTGAGCAGAAGCAGAGAAGAGCTGACGACTATGTGCTTCCAACGCAGGTTGCCGGAGCCCCGTGTTTGCCATTGGCTGCAGTTTTCTGGTTTGTGTGCAGCTTCCCCCATCTGGAATATGAAAATGGGATTGAAGTAGATAATTGCTAGCAGCGGGTTTTCAAGAGAGGCTTAGAGGGAACAGAATGCCTCTCACACAGCACAGGCTGCCTGCGCTGAGAGAGCTCTGAGAGATGATTTTAGATGTTACCCACGTCTGAATCTCCTGGAAACTTTACCATGGAAGCAAGCCATTGCGCACAGTCCTGGAGCTAACATCCAAAAGGGGCAAGGAAGGGGCAGCAGGGCCAGACAATGGGATACCTTGTCCTTGGACTGGTCACAAATAAGCCAGCAGGCATTCCCCTCTGCTCCCCAGCAAAAAGGGCATGAAGGTGGCGATGAACTGAATTTTACCCAGTGAAGCTTCAGTGGCTTTTAAGAAGGATGGGATACACTGACCCTTCGTCAAGCCGGGATTTGCTGGGAAACAGAACTTTGTTCTTCATCTTCATCTGCGCCTTTGCCGTGGTCACCTTGCTGCAGCAGATCCTCTACGGAAGAAACTATCTCAAGAGGTAAGGGGGGATCAGAGGGAATAGGAAAAGTTGGTTTATCGGCTCAGATGGAGCTCCAGGCAAACCATTACAGCAGTTCAAGCCACCTCTCAGTGTTTTGCTGATGGTAATAATATCTTGTCAGTCTGGGAAGGTGCATCCAGCATCTGTAATGTCTGTTAGATTATGAATGCAGGAGAAGGGTAGGCAGAATATAATGTTTTGTGAGTTTCCTGGATTGTGTTTCAGTCCTCAGCTGCAGCAAAAATACAGGTTTTTAATTCAACTTAATCAGAGTCGTGCCACCTGAGTATTTGCCCCTGCACAGACCCTGCCCTACAAGGCTTCCCACTCTGTGTAAGTTCAGGCTAAAATAGCTCGAGAGGTTGAATTGAGGTAGCACGTTCATTGCTGAAACTTCAATGTCTTTAGAAACAAACATGCAGATGCAGCTCCTAAAATCAATATCAGTGTTCCAGATAACCGAGAGAGCACTTTATTTTTGCACTGCTGTGTTCTTGTGAATTGCTGCTGAGACTGCTTCGCTGTAGAGCACATCAGCCTTTGATCTGAAAATGTTCTTTTCACAGCAAACACCAATGGGGCTCTATAAATGTTTACCCTTGACCCATGCAGAGTTTATTTTACTTAAACCTAGTTTGAGAAGTTACAGCTTGCATGATTTTATGAGGATGAATGTTTCCCTTACATGCTTTGAGGTAAGTGTTTCAGCTGTGTAGGCAGCTGCTGTGGAATTTTTTACTGGAATTAAGCTGCATTCTGCCAGGAGAGATCAATGGTTTGGTTCTTGCCTTGCTTGCAACTCATGTAGTTGTTTGCCTGGTGCCAAGAGCAAGCAAAATGCTGGCAAATCAGCAAACGTTTCTCTCTGGGAGGGAAAAGCAAGAGTGACATTAATATGTTTAGACAGGGGTGTTGTTTATCCACAGAGCAATTTGTGTGTCTTGTGTAGCACAAGGCCTTGTCGGGGGGACTCTGATTTTTGGGCACCTCAGCTCCAGAAAGATGTGACTTCCTCAGCTGGAAGAAGCAGGAGTGAGCAGAAGTGTAGAAAACATAGGGTTTATTTGGCTTGGAGAAAATTGAGGAGAGAAAGGATAACTGACTTGAAATAGCTAAATTAAATCTCAGAAGAAGAATGCAATGAATACATCTCTGTAAAAACTCACAAAGTGACAAAATGTTATAGCAGGAAAGGTTTGGATTTAACCATAATGGGGAACTTTTAAAAAAAATAGTTACCTGAAGAGGTATAAAATCTCCATATTTGGGGGGCTTCAGAAACCTGGTAGGTGGACAAGGATAGTACTAAGCTTCCTCAGTGTTAAGAATACTACTTTATGACCAGGTTGAGATCTCATCTTGCCTTATTTTCCCAGTTTTTCTCATTTGTCCTGGAGGTGTGGCAGCCTTACCAATCCTTGCTTTTTCAAGTCAAAATGATTGCAAGAGGATTAGAGAGAGGAAAAATAAATCCCAAGTACAAACTGAAATGAAAAATGGCAGAGTAAAGATAAAATGATGAGAAGATGCAACCAAAAACTCTTCCACTGAGTGATCTCTGTGGCCTGCCTCTGTCCTGCCTCATACCCTGGGAACCTCTCCTGTCATCATCAGGGAATGAAAAAGGGCTGATATTCAATTCCCTGGATTGCAAGGAAAAAGTCTGGTTAGGGGAAAGTCTTGTTCTGAGCCCTCTGCCATGAAAAACTCTCAAGCAGGGAGATGACCATATATTTTGCCCCTTGGACTGGAAAACACTGTTGTTTCTGTTTGGTTGGGTTTTTTTAGCTCCAGCTTGCAATGATTTTTTTTTTAAATTTATTTTTTATTAATCATGTGAAAATAATCTCACTGAGGGCTCCCCTAACTCAGTACAGGAAAAATAAAGCACCTTAGCACCTTTCTGCTGGGAATTGGCAGTTCCCACTTTCCATGGAAATAAAAATGCAGCATGTGGCTGTAAGGTTTTGGACACAGAAAGGTTATTTAAGCAGCAGCCTGCGTTGTCACCACAATATTATTATGAAGGTACTTTTTCTTTTAGCTTTCCTTTCCCTCCCTCGCTCTTAATGCCCTGCAGTACCTTCTGGTGAGCATTCCAGGGCAGTCTGATTGCCAGTGAGCTCCGTGCAGGGGCAGCTGTAACCTTTATTTACTCTTGCATTTCACAAACCTCCGGTGTTAAGCCCCATGCTAGAAGCTGATTCCGGCTGTGAGGCTCCTTGGACATGCTGTGACTTGTACCTGGTGGTTTCGGAGAGGCTCCTTGGAGAGGGGAAGTGGGGTATTTATAGCCCTGGTGCCCCTTGCCAAGCTGGAGCTTGGGGATGCTCCCTGAACCCGCAGCCATTTACTCTCTCGGATTCCATGTGCTCCTTTTTTGGGATGCCTTTCCCTGCATCCCAACACCTGCAGCAACAGCAGGCCCCACAGCCACTTCCCAAGGCAGCAGGAAGAAAATCCCCCGTGTATTTGGAGAAACCTGAAAATTGCCCTAAAGTACTATTTCAGTAAATGTACAGTGCTTTTAAGTCTAAATATAACACCAGGGTAGCTCTTTCCTCTGATAGAAGATGGTGGAAATGGGCAAAGGCCAGCAAGGCAGGGAAGTGTGATCTAAAACAAGCAGCTTGGGCACAATGCAGGTGACAGCACAGACCCAGGACTGGTCTCAAAGAGCAGAGTGGAGAAAGGTGCCCTGTTCTGGGAGAAAGATGGTAAAGTTTGCTGGGTGGCTGTAAGCTGTGCCATGCCACTTGCCCTTACAAGCAGGGAACAGGCTGGTTTGATGGCCATGAAATCCCCTCTGAGGAGGGGGCCATGGAGGCTTGGGGTCCTGCACTTGCCCCTAGGCTTGTTCCCAGAGCTTCTGTGGGGGTGGCAGGACTGTGGACAGGAAAGGATGCTCCAGGAAATAAGCTGCTCAGTGAAATTTGACAAGGGGCGCAGCCCCTGGTCAAAGTTCTCTCTTTCCCTTTATGGGATGTTAATGGGCTCCTGGCATTGCTGGAAGAAGGGGACAGTGCAGAGATCTAATTTCTAGGCATTCACACATTTTTCACCCACTGTGTAATATTCTCCACTCCTTCCTTTGCAATTTTGTACAGTCATTGGACAGCAGAATCCTGCCCAACTTTTTTTTTTTTTTTGCCCTTTTTCAGTTTTCTCCCAGGTGGGATGGATGTGGGGCTCTCACCAAGGCCAATGCCTCATCCCTGTAGTTGCAGCTGAAGTCCTAACAGGAGAGTCAAACTGCAGGCTGGAGAAATAACATTGGGAAGCTCTGGTCTCTGTAGCGTCTGATCCCGAGTGAAAAGGATGATGAAATGAGATATAATTAAGGGGCTTTAATACCGATCTCTGGGGTAATTATTTTTATTTTAGGATTAATGTGATGATTAAAAATCCGCTGCATTGATCTGCTAAAGTAGGTTAAATGCTGTGGACTTCTGCTTAAATCCAGAGCTGCCACTTGCTTTTGTATTGACTCATCTTTCCAATGCTCGCCTTTCAGCTGAATTTTCTTTTGAATCAGATTCTCGGCTGAGGGCTGGCCTTTTTTTGTCAGCTCTTGTTTGGCCAGCAGGGAATAATCCTGGATTACATCAGGAAACTGCCACTACTGTAAAAAAATGTTGAAATCTGTCTTCATCTCCCAACCTGTAGCATGGGAGAGATCAATAGGACAGTCCTCCCCTTTGGCAAGGGAAAAATATCAGAGCAATACTTTGCTATATACCAATATTCTGTTGGTAGGAAATTCACTAAATTTTTAACAGACTGACTTCTGCACAGGAAAAGTGTCAGCTGAAGAATGCAATCTGCACCTTTAAAACTCCTTTTTTTTTTTTTTTTTTTTTTTTTCAGCTGAGTGAGGAGAACACATTTCCAAAACTATTAAAGACTCTAAACAAATATTACCCCAGGGCCTGCCAGAGGGTAAATAAAAGATCTCAAAGAATCACACAGCAAGAGTCAGCAAACCTTCCCATGCAGGCAGTCTGCATTATCTGAAAGCTTTGCACCTTCTAAATGAGACTAAAACATCACTCTCACGTATGTGTGCCCTTTTACTAATATCAGAATCTCATGACTTGAAGTAAGCCCACCATTTTTGAATATCTTAGGCAGCTTTTATTCAACAGCTGCAAGTCAATTCCCAGGCATCTTTACTTCTTTCCTTACAAGATTATTTGTGATCACCTACACTGCATGGACTAAAGGAATAAACCCAGAGAAAATAAACCTGAGCTACACATTTCAGAGATTATTTAGTCTGTATCCTAAAATCATGTTTTCCTTACAGCAGGGACATCAGAAATTGCAATGGGGACATGGAGGCTACATGTGACCCAAGCTGTATTTTGTCTTAAACTGTTTTTTTGTCCTAACTACAGCCAGCTCAGGTCACTTGAGAGCTCCTGCCCCATCCCTGGCACACGCTCCTCTGGCCAGCTCATAACACCCCATGGATGTGTTAACCATAACCTAAGACCTTCTATTCCTGTGCAAAAACTCTTCTTCCATTTAAATATCTTCCCCAAGAGACGTAATCTGAAGGTCGTCTAGTGAGTCATCTCTCTCTGGTCACACAGCTCTATGCATCCAGTTCTAGCTAGAGGGAATTACTACCCCACAGAAATTACATGTATCCTGTGAGTCATCTGGATGAATCCCTGACAAGGCACTGGGCAGCTCTTGGGTTTGGGAGGATTTATGCAGAGAAGAGTGTTGTGAACTTCAGAACAAAGCAAAGTCTTCAAACAATATAGATCACAAAAAACCCCAACATGTTTATGGGATACAGCCATCACCTTAAAGTGGCCAGATCTAGTAGAGCACTGCAGGAGAAGCTGAGACTCCTGCCATGCTGAGAAGCTGAGACTCCTGCCATGCTGTTCCTGCTACAGGGTATTCCCAGGACCATTTCATGGGATGCCAGGCATCCCTGTTGGCAATGGGGTGGAGAGGGCAGAAATAACAGAGTGCTGATAGAT